CAGGGGGAGGTTTGGATCCAAGTGAGCTACGTGCCACTACCCGGGTGAGCTGGCGGGACAGTGGCGCCTTCAGGGAGGCCCTCGGGCTTCATAGTCCCGACCAGCTTAGATCCTGTCGTGACTTGCTCTAGCTGGTGTGGAGAAAGGCAGCTGTCAGTGAAGGAATCAGCGGGGGTCTGCTGGGAGAGTTAGGGCGCCTGAGGGCTGTGAGAGTTCAGAAGCCCGGGCTGCTTCCCAGGCTCTCTCTGCATCATTTTCCAAAATGACCCGTCCATGCAGCCAGAGAGGCGCGGGTGGTCGCTCAGCTGCGGCCCGGGCTTGGAGCAGTAGGTTGGGAGCCGTGAAGGCGGGACAGGCGCGGGCAGAGAGGAAACCCAACAGTTTTTCTGGGAATTGACTGAGGTGGGGGTCGAGGAGGTGGATCTGAGAAGCCCAAAGCGTCCCGGGCCCACTGGAGAGGGATGCGGGGGAGGTGAAGGCAACTGGTCACCGCAGCGGGCCAAGGGCCCTGAACCTGATGCGTGGGGTGCGCCAGACAGGAGGACTACCGCCGAGGAGGTGGAACAAGGGTGCACCCCAGCCATCTGGGCACCGGGGTCAAGCGCCCCCTCCGCTGGGACGGCCAGGAGACCTGCCTGGACTGCAACACACGTTGTCCCAAGCCCGAGGACATTTCAGCCGCTTGGGCCACTCCAGCCCTACCATCTGCGTGGAACGGTCTCCGTGTCCCCACTGAGTGGCGCAGGTTGGAACCGCCCGGATCGGGAAGTGGAGAACCCCTCGCCCCCAGCGCTCTAGAGCCGGGCTGTTCCACTGTCGAGATTCCTTGGAGGCCGAGCCCAGGGGCAGGAGGTGACCAGATCTCCCGCGGCCACACCGCAGCGGGATCCGGGAATGGCCGGGAGGGCCTGCGCAGCCGGCGCTTTCCGCACTCGGACCCTGGGAGAGGTGCTCATGCTGGCGCCGGGGCCGCTCGGCGGAGCCCCTCGGACCCGCCCTCCTCTGGCAGCGTGGAGGCTGCCACGCAGACGCTGTGCAGCTCCTTTAAGCATTGCCCGTGAGTTCCCCGCGCCTGGAACGCCCTGCCCCCGTCCTCTCCAGGCCTCGGCCCAGCCCTCGAAGGAGCCTTTCT